TCAGAACTCTTCCTCTGTCACATCCTCTCCCCTTTTCTCCCTTCCTTTTCTCTCTCTGGGAGCCTCTTGTCTCTGCTTCAGGTCAGAGCTTCAGGTCAGAGCTTCAGGTCAGAGCGTCTCTGTGTCTCAGGTCTCTGTTTTGTCTCTGGACGTGGATCATAACCTGAGCGACGCCTCGTCTCCTCTGACATTTAGTCTACGTTCAGATGCACCTGAAGTTTCCCAAATCAGATTTTTCATCCCTATGTTCCTGTATCTGATCTTTTAATGTCTGAACCACACAGATCTGATGTTTTCACATGTGACCAGGACACTTGGATCTGTGCTCCTGAAACTGATCCATATCTGATCTTTAACATGTGACTTGAGTGTGAACAGTCAGGTCACATTCATCCACCTACACGTCATCAACAAGACACAAACGTCACTATTCTGCACTGAAGTAGAGAAAACTGTTCATGATCCATGTGACTGAAGTGAAGCACATCTCCACTCACCACAAAACACCACCACCAAAAACCTGCTCCTTCTCCTTCTCAATCTCCTCCTTAAAACAAGTCAGTTGTTCATGTTGTGGCTCCGGTACGAGAGGAACTTTAAAATCTCCAGGTGCTCGATGCTGCGTCCATGTTTGTTCAACTTGTGTAAACACAGAGACGCTCGCTGCGGTTGACGTCGTCGTGTCTCCAGTGTCACATGTGGGACACTTTTGGGCCGTTTAATGTTCACACTGGAGTCACATACAAGTCACATTTAACTGGAAATGTGAACGAGCTCGAAAAAACATCGGATTTCACCAAAAAATCTGAATTGAGCGTTAAACCTGCAGTCTGAACGGAGACTAAGACTCTTCAGGGACCTGTTCTCTGACGCTCTGCCCAGAGGAGAGGGACGTGGACGAGGACGTGGACGTGGACGTGGACGTGGACGAGGACGAGGACGTGGACGAGGACGAGGACGTGGACGAGGACGTGGACGAGGACGTGGACGAGGACGTGGACGTGGACGAGGACGTGGACGAGGACGTGGACGAGGACGTGGACGAGGACGTGGACGTGGACGAGGACGTGGACGAGGACGTGGGGGTCTGTGCTGGAGGACGTGGGGGTCTGTGCTGGAGGACGTGGGGGTCTGTGCTGGAGGACGTGGGGTCTGTGCTGGACGTGGGAGGTGCTGGAGGACGTGGGGCTGTCTGTGCTGGAGGACGTGGGGGTCTGTGCTGGAGGACGTTCTGTGGTCATTACTGTTCTCCAGAACGTTTAGAACATGACTGATTGTGACGAGGAACATTAGAACATGACTCAAACAGAGCTGGACTTGTGTTTGTTGGAGTGACTCTTTATTCTGAGTCTGTAACTGTATCTATTACTCCAAACACTCTGTTCCACCTTGTGATGTCATCAAGTGGTAGTTTCCAAGTTCTCAGCTCCTTTTCCCTTTAGTTCAGTCGAGATCCGTGACTCCACAACTGAAACGATCCACATGATTCTAGTGAAGGTGTGTGGACTTTAAAAACACAGTGGAGCACTTCCTGTATCACCACATGGTGACATCACCAGGTGGATCGGAGTGTTTTTAGTGGGAGAGAAGAGCAGTGGGACGTGGAGCTTTACTCTGGGCCTAAACCTGATTTTGATTCTTCTAAATTTGTCAAACGTCCCATTTTCAGTCCGTTCCTCTTTGTCCTGTTCTGACACACGACTCCGAGCGAGGAAAGGAAACTAGGAAAGGAAACTAGGAAAGGAGACAGTGAAGGATACAAACCGTGGACTCGTCAGGTGAAAGGACTTTAAAGTTTGTGGAGAGTGAGAAGGAGAAACATTTGTGCGACTTCTTCTCTCAAACTGAAAACACTCTGTTCCACCTTGTGATGTCATCATGTGGTGATACAGGAAGTGCTCCACTGTGTTTTTAACACTGTGTTTTTTTGACATCACAAGGTGGAACAGAGCGTTTGGAGACAGACTCAGAATAAAGAGTCACTTAAACAAACACGAGTCCAGGTGTGTGTGCGACGAGGAAACATGATAAGAACATGGATTCAAGTTCAGAGGGGAGTTTCAGGTTCAAATCTGCCTGAGCGTCTGCTGTTGTGTCTCTGAGCAAGACACTGGAACTGTGAGGGAAATGAAATGGAAATCTATTTTATATGACAACAACTACAACATCTACAACCAGTCACGAGCCCGGCCTCCTGTACACCCCCCCCCCCCTCTCTCTCGTGCACACTCCTCTCGTGCACGCTCCTCTCGTGCACGCTCCCCTCGGTCGTGCACACTCTCTCGTGCACGCTCCTCTCGTTCACGCTCCTCGTGCACGCTCCCTCTGGGCCGTGCGGTGGGAGCAGATTAAATCCTGGAGAGGTCGGTGCAGAGGACGCTGTGAAACCAGAATTTCAATCTAAATGTTAAACAGGAGCGTGAGCCGGAGCAGCTCTGAGCCGCACTCTGGAGCCGCACTCCGGAGCCGCACTCCGGAGCCGCACTCCGGAGCCGCACTC